GCGGCTCGGTGCCCTCACCCGCCCTTGGGACCTTCTCCACTGCTTGCTCGGAGACAGCGCGCTCCGGGCGCCAGCGGGTACAGGGACAGGCCCATGGCCCCATGGTGAGTGTCCCGGCCCAATGGCGGGCAATCTGGCCATCGCCCCGGTTTGCGGGACCATCGTTACCTGGGCACAGGACTGGCTGCACTAGTCCCTGTACGCTCCGCGGCCTGCCACTGCCCGGGAGCGTGTCGCCACCCCCAGCGGCCCCGGCTCCTAAGCAGGCACCAAGCTGTGTCCGCCCTTTGCTGCCCAGTGACGCCGGACCAAACTTTACGTAACCGCTGGTCGCCCCACGGGTACCCGCATAGTCCCACCCTGGGCCCTCAGGCTCAGGCGTGGGTAGGAGACAACTCTAGTTGCGACATTGCCCAGAGGGGCGTTGTGGCGGGGAGGGGGGTCTCACTACGTCCCTCTCTGCAACTCGTAGCCAGTGCTAGTGACCCATTGTGTGGCGACCAGCCTGTCCACTGCCCTAGACCCATGTGACCAAAGGCTTACCCTTGAAAGGAAGGCAGTAGGAGCTTGGGCCATGGCCAGGGTACTGGACAGGGCTGGGGCACAGAAAGCTGGGGCCAGGCTGGGGCTGGGCCCCTCAAGGGAACCTAAAATGGGAGGCCGGAGCCTGGGTGGTAGGCCTGGCTCTGCTGATTTACTGAGTGACCTTGGACCAGCGCTTCTTAATTGGAGAGCAGTGCTCCTTTCATCCGTGGGTCGACCCCTAGGGGCTGTGCAAGCTATCAAATGTCGTGCCCACGTCTCTCTCTCTACCAGCTTTACCCTCTTATCCACTTCCAGGAGCTCCAGCGCTGCTGGTTAACAGTGAAGGTGTTTGTGGGTGAAGTATCTAAGAACCACTGCTCCGATTTACTCCGGCTGGGGCTAACACCCTTCCCCTCCCACACCCCCTTTTTTACAGATGAGGAAGCTGAGGCCCAGTAAGCGACAGTGACACACCAGGTAGGTCTGGTCTAGAGCTCCGCCCCCTGCCTGGGCTGGAGGTAGCTGGGCCACTGGTACCTGTGAGTGGTCAGGGCTTAGGTGGGACTAGAGACAGGAAGCCCAGGGTGGAATCTGAATTTGGCAGAGCTGGAAAGGGGGTGTCGGTGTCCCTACTTTCTCTTACCTTTTCTTTGTTAGAGGTTGGATGGTCCTAGACAAGCAGGATCACTCTGTCCTCCAGTGGTGGAGAGTTGGGGATTGGCTTCAGTAGAGTCTGGAAGTGGGAGTGCTTGTGAGGGCAGCGGCAGTTAAAGGCATCTCCAGTGGAGGAGCCGGAGGTGCTAATGGATCCATGATGTGGGAAGTAGTTTAAAGAGAAGAGAAGGCTGGGTGGAAGGGAGCCCCTCTGGGGGCCTCCACCGCCCAGAACGCTCATGGCAGCCCTTCCTTGCGCAGGTGCTGGTCCTGTGGCTCATGCGGTGAGGCGGGGAAGACACCAACATGCCGTGGGACACGAGGAGGCCTGGGGGTCCAGAGGGTCCGGGTGCGGCGCGCTCGCGGGCACAGAAACAGTGTCGCAAGTCGTCCTTCGCGTTCTACCAGGCCGTGCGTGACCTGCTGCCTGTGTGGCTGCTCGAGGACATGCGAGCCAGCGAGGCCTTCCACTGGGACGAGCGAGGCCGCGCCACCGCTTACTCGCCGTCTGAGGCGCTGCTCTACGCGCTCGTGCACGACCATCAGGCCTATGCACACTACCTGCTGGCCACCTTCCCGCGCCGCGCGCTGGCGCCGCCCTCTGCAGGTTTCCGTTGCTGCTCGGCGCCTGGACCACATGTGGCGCTGGCGGTGCGCTACAACCGCGTGGCGGTGTTGCGGGGCATCCTGCGTGCTGTGCGCGACTTCCCAGCGGACGAGCGCACGCGTCTGCTGGACCGGCGTGGCTGCAGCCGTGTGGAGGGTGGCGGCACGGCGTTGCACGCCGCGTGCGAACTGGCGCGGCCAGAGTGCCTCTTTCTGCTGCTGGGCCACGGCGCCTCGCCCGGCCTGTGCGACGCTGGCGGTCTCACGCCGCTGGAGCTGATGCTGCGCCAGCTCGGCCGCGATACCGGGCCTGGGTCTGGCCCTGGTGCCGGGGCCTCGGCCGCTGCCGCCACCGGAGAGCCGCACCAGCGCCGCCTTTTGCTGCTCGACCTGCTGGTGTTGTACACACCCGTGGCCGCCAACGGCCCAGCCCGCCGCGAGCTGCTTAGTGACCGGCCGCGCTGGCAGCGGCTGCTGGGCGAGGACAAGTTCCAGTGGCTGGCGGGCCTGGCGCCACCATCGCTCTTCGCGCGGGCCATGCAGGTGCTTGTCACTGCCATCTCGCCCAGACGCTTTCCCGAAGCCCTGGACGAGCTGCCGCTACCGCCCTTCCTGCAGCCACTGGACCTCACGGGAAAGGGCTAGACCGTGGGCCGCCCAGGATGAAGGGTGTGGGGCGAGGAACGATTTGTTTGAACGTTGTACCTGGCACTTTACAAAGACTGATTTCTGCATCGGAGTCTTGCCTCCTCTGTCCCAGTGCCGGGTGGATGGGTTGGCGTGGGGATGACTGGCCTGGCTGAGCCTAGGCTGGACTTCAGGGGCCCACCAGTCCCTGAGGATGAGGACCGGACCGGCTTGCCACCGGTGAGTTAGGTTCTCCAGGTTTCCCAGAAGTCCACACTCCCCGCCCTTGTAACGACCTTGTGTGTTAGGTGCCATCTGCCACGCTTGAGCCCATTGATGCTGTCACTTTGCCAATCCATCTCGCTGGGGGTCTTCCTCTTTTTCTCTGACCCTCCACCTTACCAAACATGAGACCCTTCTCCAGCCACTGGTCCTTCCTGACAATATGTCCGAAATATGAGAGACGAAGTTTAGCCATCTTGGCCTCCAGGGAGCACTCTGGCTGCACTTTTTCCAACACAGATCTGTTGGTTCTTGAGTAAAACCGTTCCTTCGGGTTTCCGAGGCTGTAAATTTTCCGAGGTTGCCACATCTTTCTCTCGGAGCAGCTCGTGAGTTCCAACCACGTGGCAGGATAAGCGCTAGAACACAAGGTCTGTTAGAACCACAAGGTTGATGATTAGAACTCACCAGCCGTTCCTCGGAAACCCTATCAGGGTCGCTGTGAGTCGGGAGTGACTCCACGGCACTTAACAAAGCAGCCCAAGGCATAATCCAGTGCACCATTCGGCTCCTTTTCCCAGAGGAAGGGACAGGACAGCACAGCTAAACTGGACAGGAAGGAGTTGAACAGGGTCAGGTGGGGTGGACTGAGCTAAGTAGGAGTCAGCATGTACAAGGGTATGGAAGCTGAGGGACCTGGGAGGTAGGTCTCAGGAGGCCCTGCTGGGGGACCATACAGCAGAGGGGGAGGGGCAGCAGGTCATTTAGGGCCAGTCTGCTTGGACTTAATCCGAATTGGGCAGTGGCAAGTGTCCCTGGCTGCTTTGAATTCCTGCTCTGGAGGCTCTGCCCTGTGATCTGCCCTAGTCCCTCCCAGGCTGCAGAACTGGACTTAGAGACCTAGGTTCTACAACTCTTAGACTTTCTTTGTTCAGCTCTCCCCAGGCCCAGCATGCATGCCTGGGCCTCTCCTTGTCTGCCCTCCTAGACTGGCTACCTTCCAGTCCTTGTGGATGCTTGCACTCCCACCTAAACCAGCTCGGATCCCTGTCACGCTTCCTGCTCACCCCCAGGTAGTAGGCACTTGCTGCTCTCACTCCAGCCCCTGGGGTAGGCTCCTGTGGGCGTTGAGGGAGTGGCTGCTTCCCCCTGTGCTGGCTGTCTCTTTGTCTCGGCATGGAGAGCTGGTTTCTGGAGGAAATTTCTGGTAATGGACACTAGTGTTTGTGGCCATGCACAACATCAGGGTCACCCACCTCCTAGGCCTCTGCTGGATCCTCTGGGATCCTTATGCTTCCATCCCATGTGACCCAATGAGCAATGACACACCCGGACCCCAGGAGCAGGTGTCCTGGAGAGCCTGGAGATCAGGGAGGGCACCACACTATGAAATTCAACCTGCATCAGCCTGCGCTGGAGGGCTGCTGTGTTCTGCCAGGTATAGAGGGTTGAAAGTCTGCTCTGGGAAGGGTGACCAGCTGGTGCAGGCTCCTCCTACCACCCACCTTGGTGTTCCTAAGGGGAGTGTGACTGGGCTGAGGCATCTGGTTCTGGTCTGGCCTTGCCAATCTCTCTCAGGATGACCTTGGACAAGCTCCTGTCTCCTGTTCTGGACCTCAGTTTCCCTCTCTGTCTTCAAGGGGTTTTATGAATCTCTTTGCCATCCCTAAAAGGGATATAGGACCCCATTTCTGGGATGGGAGGACCCACTGGAATTTAGATCAACAAGAACAAATCTGAGCACCCTCCAGCCTGGCTGGATAATCAACCTTGGGTTTCAGGTGGGTGGAACGGAGGGTGAGGGAAACCTAATTAGAATCTAAGTGATTATCAGACTCTTGCTGTCTTCCTGGGGCCCACGAAACCACCTACCTCCCCAAACTTTGGCCCATGGATACTTTCTCAGCCCCCCAAACTCAGGATATTGTGAGCCCTTGGGGTTCCTGGTCAGTGCTAGATGCTATGGGGGGGGGGGGTATTGAGACTGGAGGGGGCCAGGGAAGCATCTCTGGCTCCTGAGGAGGGTGATGGGAGGAACAGCCCCTGTCTCTGGAGCTGCCAGCTGGCCAGAGGGTTGGGTCTGCGGAGGGGATCCCTGGAGAGGGAAACTACCAGGACGGGACCTAGGGTCGAGTGTCAGGCACTTGGGTGAGGGGGCACCAGGGCTGGTGGGGTGGCCAGGCAGGAGGGTCCAACCCCAGCAAAGGTGTAGGTAAAATTGGGAGCTAGGTGGGGTGGTTTGGTTCAGCAAGGTGGGGGACCAAAAAGCCACCCTCAGCACACTGGTTATAGGGTGCAGTCTCTGAGACCCCTTTACCTTGGAGGGGTGAAGGTCTTGAGTCTGACAGGGTAGCCCTGAGCATTAGCCCCTGATGTCATTGCTGGGGTGATCTGAGGAGGCCCAGAGCAGGTGGGCAGGGCCAGGCCATGGCCACAAGCCTAATGGCAGTGTCACACCCCAGTGTGGGTGCACAGCCGGCCTCCATATCCATATCTGGAGGTCACTGTCGCCAGCTGGAAGGAGGAACCGTGTCAGGCTTATCCACCTGAACAGGGCTGCCCTGGGCTCTGTCCTAGCCCAGCTATAAACATGAAGGACTCAGGGCAGAACTTGAGGGGGACTGGCTCACCTAGGCAGGTCTCAGGTTGGCTGTGTCGAAAGGCCTGGTTCTTTGGGCTGAAGCTAGTAAATTCTTCTGTTCCTCCATTTTCTAAGCTGACTCTGTCCCTCTTCCCAGCACCCTAAACCACTTGGGCTCACTGAAGTCAGCCTGAAAACAAATGCAGCTGATTTCACGGGGCCTCCTGCCCTTCCCCTCCCCGTTTAAAAGTACGACATGGAGAGCAGCTTCCTGAGGGACACCCCTTCTTCAGAGTAAGGCAGCTTTCTGGACAGCAGGGGGGCTCTTGTATCCAAGCTTGTTTTGGCAGCGATTGGCTTCCCCAATACTCAGGGACAATGTAGATTAAAATGCATGGCTTCTAAGGGCCGTGTGACAAGCTATGACCGATGTCTACAAGCACACTGTCAGCCCCTGTCCTTGTTCCATAAACATGTCTTTGGTGATTGTCAAATTTCTTTCTCATGGTAATGTTAATGGCAGAACACGAGGTTCCGCGGACCCTCCTAGAAACGCTGACTACCCACTGGATCCCACCCCGAAGCTTCTGAGGGTAGGGACCCCCTGACACTGGGCGGGGGAGATGTATCTATGGAAAAGAATAGCAAGCAGTAAATCTGTGCCTATCCAAACACCTGACACCATTTATTAGGTGACTTTACCATCAGATCAGCTCAAAAATAGAAGTCAAGCACATTCAAACTTTAACCCATGCCTGTCCTATGTGAAACTGACAAGGGCAGCTCCTTTTTTTCACTGGTGTGAACTGGTCTGCCTTGGCCCATGATGCCAGTGCCATGGAGTTGGTTCTGACAGGACACAGAACTGCTCCTTAGGGCTTCCAAGGCTGTTCCTCTTTTATGCAAGAAGACTACATCTTTCTCCCTCAGAGTGGCTGCTGGGTTCAAACCACAGACCTGTAGGTTAGCAGCCCAGTGCTTTAGCCACTGTGCCACAAGAGCCGACTCCCTGTTCTAGCTTTCATTTGCTGAATGGTCTGTCAGAACTGGCAATGGAAACTGCTCAGTGGGCGCCCCCTTCAGGTGGTGCCCGGGGCACATGCCACATTGCCAAGCCTTAGTTACACCCCTGCAGCCTAGAGAGAAAGTCTGGGGGCAGCAAACTGCCGGAATCCCACCACCCACCCACCTCACTGCTTTTTTGCTGTACCACCTCCGGTTTCGTTTCCCCTCCCCCACCCTATATTTTAAGTTTTCTAACATATGGTTTTTTCACACACATGAAATCATTTCACTCACACAACATAGCATTTTCACACTTGTAAATGTACACTCCCTACGTTGTAAGCAGTTTGTAAATGATGGTTAAGGAATCTTCGTTGTCTTTGTGAAATTTAATTCGGCAAGTATTGGTTTCAGTTAGGGAGGATTAGGTTTTAATAGTTTACATTTTATTTAAGAATAAAGAATACATTTACCTGGCTCAAAATTCAAGATACAAAAAGGTACATTTGTCACACGTCTGTCAGTTTGTCATACTGTGGTGGCTTGTGTGTTGATGTGATGCAGAAGCGAGGCCGCTGGTGGTTCGAGCCGGTGTCAGCAGAGATTCCTGACTAACAACAGACTGTTGTTAAGTGTTGTCGAGTCGGTTCCGACTCATAGCAGCCCACTATAGAGTTTCTGAGGAGAAGCTGGTGGGTTTGAACTGACAACCTTGTGGTTAGCAGTCTAGTGCTTCTCTGGCAGCGCCACACCAGGATTCTAAGAATAGCTAGGATAAAGGAATAGGCAGTCTGAGGGGTTAACCTTTGAAAAGCTCATGAGTAACGTGAAACATTAGCAGATACGGTGCTAGAAGATTGAGGCCCTCAGGTTGGAAGGCACTCAAAATATGGCTGCGGAGGCCCGTTCAAAGCAGAGTTGACTTCAATGATAGGAATGGAGCAAAGCTTTCAGGCCCATCATTTGCTGATGAGTCACTACTCAAAATGTGAAGAAACAGTTCCTTTGATAATTAGAACATGGAATGTATGAGTATGAATCTAGGAAAATTAGAAGTTGTCAAAAATGAAATGGAACACATAAAAAATTGATATCTCAGCATTAGTAAGCTGAAATGGACTGGTATTGGCCATTTTGAATCCGACAATTATAGGGTTTACTATGCTGGGAATATCAAATTGAAGATGAATGGCACCACATTCATCATCAAAAAGAACATTTCAAGATCTGCCTTGAAGTACAATGCTGTCTATGATAGGATAATAGCCACACTCCTACAAGCACACCAGTTAATACCACTATTATTCAAACCTCTGCACCAGTCACCAAAGTCAGTGATGAAGTAACTGAAGAATTCTACCAACGTTTAAAATTGAGCAAACATGCAATCAAGATGTATTACTGGTGACTGGAATGTGAAAAGTTGAAAACAAAGAAGAGAGAAATCAGTAGTTGGAAAATATGGTCTTGGTGACAGAAATGACATGGGAATCACATGGCAGAATTTTGTTAAGACCAACAATTTATTCATTGCAAATACCTTTTTTCAACAACATAAATGGTGACTATACACATGGAACTCACTAGATGGAATTCTACAATAATCGGACTGACTACATCTGTGGGAAGAGACGATGGAGAAACTCACTATCATCACTGAAAACAAGGCCAGTGGCAGACTGTGGAACAGACCATCAACTGCTCATATGTAATTTCAGGCTGACACTCAAGAAAATTAAAACAAGTACAAGAAAACCAAATACAACCTTGAGTTTGGTGGTGGTGGTTATGTGTCGTGGAGTCCGACTCATAGCGACCCTGTTATTCCACCTGAATTTAGACATCATCTCAAGGACAGATTTGATATATTGCACACTAATGACACAAGACCAGAGGAGTTGTGGGATGACGGCAACATCATAAAGGAAGAAAGCAAAAGGTCATTGGAAAGACAGGAAAGAAAGAAAAGACGAAAACGGATGTTAGAAGAAACTCTGAAACTTGTTCTCCAACATAGAGACACTAAAGCAAATGGAAGAAATGAAGTAAAAGAGCTCAACAGAAAATTTCAAGGGGCAGCTCAAAAAGACAAATTAAAAGTAAATGCAAAGACCTGGAGTTAGAAAACCAAAAAAACACACTCAACATTTCTCAAGCTGAAAGAACTGAAAACAATTTCAAACCTTGACTTGCAATATTGAAGGATTCTATGGACAAAATATTGAACACTGCAGGAAGCACCCAAAGATGGAATACACAGTTATTCAAAAAGAAGTGGTCAGTATTCAGTCACAGCGTAGGATCAAGAACCGACGGTACTGAAGGGAGAAGTCCAAGCTACACTGAGGCATTAGCGAAAAACCGGACTCCAGGAACTGACGGAATGTAAACTGAAATGTTTCAACAAATTGATGCCATGCTGGCAGCACTCACTAGTCTATGCTAAGATATTTGAAAGGCAGCACCCTGGCCAACTGAATAGAAGACATTCATATCTGTGCTCTTTACAAAGCAAAATGACCCAACAGAATGCAAAAAGTACCAAATAATATCATTAATATCACATGCAAGTAAAATTTTTCTGAAGAGAATTCCAATATGGCTGACAGAGTACATCAAAAAGGAGCTGCCGGATTCAGAAGAGGATGTGGAATGAGGGTTACCTCTGCGGATATCAGGTGGATCTTGGCTGAAAGCAGGGAAAACTAGAATGATGTTTACTTGTGTTTTATTTAGTATGCAAAGGCATTAGGACTGTGTGAATCAAAACAAACTATGAACAACATTGCAAGATGGGAATTCCAGGACACTTGGTTGTGCTCATGAGGAACCTGTACACAGACCAAGAGGTAGACATTAGAATGGAACAAGGGGCTAGTGCATGGTTTAACATCAGGAAAAGTGTGCGCCAGGATTGTATCCCTTCACCATACTCATTCAATTTAAGTTGAACAAGCAGAGAAACTAGAGTTTATCAGGAAGAACGTGGCATCAGGATTAGAGGAAGACTCATTAACCACCCGTGACACAACCTTGCTAGCTGAAAATGAACTGGACTTGAAAGAATGTACTGATGAAGATCAAAGACTCCAGCCTTTTAGTATGGATTATAACTCAAATGTAAAGAAAACAAAAAAAAAAACGTAGTCCAGTGCTTATCCTACAGTGCCAAACCAGGACTCTCAAATTCAACAAGTCAGTAAGATTCTGTATAGACAGTGCATAGCAGATTCCCACCGCCAGGTCCATTTGCTTTAAAATGACTGCACACTACTTCATCCGCAGAGTGCGCCAGCTGTCACCATGCCCTGAAGTGTCTGGGCGGAAACATTGTAATTTGTTTCACAGTGGAAACGAAGCTGACTGAGTTCACCCAGATGCAAGGACCCATTTCTAAGGGCAGACTGTCAGCAGAGGGCTCATGGATTGGGGTGTTTCCCAGAAGGGGTTTTTAATTAACAGCATTTCCATATTTTGAAGACATAAAATCTATATACTCCTCTCCCCCAGAAACCTTCTAGTTTTTTAAAAAATGCTTCCATGCATTTAGAGAGCGCATTGGCCTATGGTGTGAGGAAATGACACATGGACTTCCTGTATCTGAACAACAAGGTCATGACCCTCCCTCCCCTGCTGAGGCCTGGTGGAGTTGGGGCTGTTTGACTTCACTGTCCTCCTTGTAAATCCCTGACATGCTGACCCTACAGGGCTCCTACCTGTTTGTTCTTCCCAAGAGATGGGGAATCCCACAGAACTGGTTTGGGAGCTTCCTGGGACAGGGGGTGGTGAGATGGGAAATAGGATGTGTGGCCCAGGGCTCACCTGGCAGTCAAGAGGGCAGGCTTGTGACTGTCTCCCTGCCTCCTCCTAACAAAAAATCCCAGCAGTACTGGGTACCGTGACAGAAAAGGACACGAACCCTATGAACTCCTCTGGTTCGGACTGTCTGTTCAGACATGTCTTTCCTAAAGCTTAGCCTTGTCACTGCCAGGCCTGTATCTCTTCTGCTGCTGTTAGGAGGTTTTTGAGGATTTCCTGCCACCGGCACTTCTAGTTTTGTGTCTTGGATGGAGGCTCATTAATCAGGGGTGCAAGTCCCCCAAGGCAGCCCTGAGGGCTCTAAGGAGAAGACTAGTGTTCTGTGTCCATCAAGGCATACTCCCTAGGGCTACTGTGCAGTGCAGGACCTCCCCAGGGTCCTGCACTGCAGTGACCACACACCATGCTGCCCATGCCACCAAGTCCCACCCACTCTCCTGGCAGTGGGTGGACACCACTAGCAGATCCCAGCCTGGGGAGTTGGGGTACACCAGCCTAAGGGGTGTCTGCTGAGGGGTGCAGGGGTGTCCTTCTCAGCTCCAGCAGCAGACTCAGCCAGCTTGGAAAAGTCTATTTATTGCACTGTCTCGAAACACAACTAAAAATCCAAACCAGAACCAGAGTACAAAGACTAGAGCTGTGTGGGGGGCTGCACGCCTGGCCTCGGGCACCCTGTACTGACCGTGTGGTGCTCATAGAGCCTCAACAAAGGAGTCGATCAGACTAAGCGGTAGACAGACCTGGGCTTTGGGCCTCTTGTCCTCAGGGGCCCAGGAACCCCTGCCTTCTCCCTGCTGGAGAAAGTATTTAAGTCTCTCCTGCGGCGCCCTCCCTTCACTAACTACATACAGAAAACAGGTGGTAAGTGAGGGGCCTAAGACCAAAGGCCAGCTCAAAACAGCTTGCTCGCTGGAGTGCTCTAGGGGCTGCTGGGGGGAGAGGGGAGGGCCAAGGGCTGACCGGTTCCCAGCTCAGACACCAGTGAGAGGAGTGGACCCTGCAGACCGGCCCCAGAGCCAGGGTTCTGACTTGGCCACATTAGGCTCCTAGTCCAAATTCCAGGGGTGTTAGCCCAAACCTCCCACAGAAGGTGCCGGGCTTCCACATGGAGTTGCCTGGCATTTGGGTTGCCCAGTGAGCCAAAGCCACGGGAGATGCCATCCCCTGACGTTGGGCCCAAGGCCCCTTCCTGCTTGCTATCAGAAAATCGCCGCCTCTAGAATTGTAAGAGCAGATTGAAGATGAGGTATCTCAAACAGGTTTGTAATACAACAAACACAAAAGGCAATCGTTCACAGAGTCACCCTCTGAGGACGCTGTGGTTTTTAGGGCGCCTGCCAGCAGGGTTGCTGAAGGTAACTCAAAAGATCTTTTCTGGAGCAGCTGCTGGAGTTCAGCTGGCCCACACCTGACCCTCCCTGCCTCAGGAGGGGACAGTTCACACACATGCACACTGGCAGATCCCATCTGCGTCTCTTGGCCTGGTCACTTGGAAGCATGGCTCTGTGCGGAGTGCTCGTGCAGGTATGTGTTCCTCATCCGTGTGTAGGTGGAATGTACTAGAACCTCTATCTTATCAGGAGCCGATGAGCCCCTGTGTGGGAACCGTTGAGCACTGAGCGCCTCACCCCCACCCCCAGCAGCCCTGGGACTGCAGGAATGTGAAGCAGCAGCCAACAGGGGTTCCTGGCCTCCCCCCGACCAGCAACGTGACCGTGAAATGCGGGGACTGTTGTCATGCACCCCAAGGGGCTGTGGGCCACTCCTGCAGAGGCTGTGCATTCTGGACAGGACGGAGACAGGAGGAGGACAGACAGCAGGGTGGGTGACCAGACTGGCTGGATGAGGCCCATCCCCGTGAGAGCTGGGCCACGTGGCGTCGTCCCCTGCAGAATTTGTAGCTCCCTTCCTGAGTGCTGGGGCCCCCAGTGTGCCCTCAGATGACCTCCCACTCGTCCTCAAAGTCCTCAGGGTGAGACATAGTAGTGGCCAGGCTGCCCTTCCGAGTGCCCTGCGAATGGCTGAATGTCTTCGTCAGACGCTGGAGGAGGGAACCATGTGGACCGACTGCCCACAGCTCGTCCTCGGCAGTCACTGCAGGAAGGAGAACTGTTATGTGCCTGGAGGTCACCTGGCCTGGAGCCAGACTGTTTAGTGGGGGGCTGTGGGCAGACTGTTCCCCAATCTGTGCCCAGTTCTTGGTCTCCTAGCATGCCTCCCGGAGGTGGGACCCCAAGCTGGGTTCTGTCAGAGACTTCCCTGGACCAGGAGGTGGAGGCCAATGTAACAAACTGGATGACATCTCAGAGCCCACCCTCCTGCCATGGCCCCGAGAGTCCCCGTGGGACCCCGCCCTACTTCCAGAGCTCCCCTGCCCTTCCCTGTCACCTACCTGTGACACATAATGCATTCCCGGGAATTTTCTTCCAGTAGTCTCCAGCTGGGTTCTTCTCAGTGACACCGTACCGCCGGGCTAAGTCTCCATTGGGACAGCGGGCCCACACAGTCCTGGTGCTGAGCGCCAGCTGACAGGCCTGCAGCCCTGTGAGCAGACATGGTGCATCCCTGATCCTGGGGACCCTGGGCAGAGGGAGCCAGGAGGCAACTGGACCCCTCCAGAAGGGGCAGAGTAGAGCTTGTGGGCAGGGCTGGCACAGTCAAAGACCCTGAGGTGTCCAGCTGATGTGAAAGGACCACTCACCCACAGAAGCATTCCAGGGACATAGGGTTCTGACTCCACAGGCATTACCGGCCTGGCGCACTACCTATGCCCGACGTGGGGTTGTCTGGACACAGGTGGGAGGGGGCAGTGAGAACCACCGTCCGTACCTGGCACATGTTCCCAGTCGGTCCCCACTGGCATCTCCTCGGTGACCCCAGAGCGGACATGCACATTGCACTTGCTGTCAATTGCCCAAAGCATCTGGTCGTTGGGGCTGGAGTGGACGCTAACCAAGATGACCCCAGCAGGCTGTAAGCAGGAAGGAATTTTCCTCAGGGAAGGAGGAGGTGAGATGGGGGGCTTGTGGAGAAGGACAAATGGAAGGTCTGGGGGAGCGAGGCCATCTCAGAGCCTGGGTGGCGGTCAGGCTGACTCAGGGATAGGTAGGAGCTGCCAGGTGAGGGCGCACAACTGAAAACAGTGGACACAACCCCTGCCCTCAGGGAAGAACGATGCTCATCAAATCCTTCTTGAAATGTCAGACCAATCCATGAGGTGATGAGCTCCAGCTCCCCCAAACTGAGGTGGGAAGGTGCATCAGATTAAAGGGGACCCATTTTCACTGATTCTGATCGGCGCTTTACCTTGGGAGTGCAGCAGCATGCACTGTCTAAGTGATGCCCCCCTACCCTGGGTGTGCATTACAGCACATCACCCATCTGTGGCGGTCTGCCCGGTGCCATGCTGCTGGAAGCTGTACCACTGGTATTGCAGACACCAGCAGGGTTGACCGTGGTAAGAAGGTTTCAGTGGGACGCCCAGGATAAGACGGACTAGGCCTGGAGATCCCCTTCCCCAAATCAGTCAACAAAAACCCTAAAGACCACAGTGGAACACCTAGAGAGTGCTGGACGATGAGCCTCCAGGTGGACGGCACAGTGGGCAACAGTGCCCTCGGCATCCCAACAACATGAAGCTACCACGGGTCTGGGCAGCATTTCTTGTGCTGTACTCAGGGCTCACAGTGAGTCCGAGCCAAACCGACGGCAACCACCAGCCACCGAGGAAATGGGCGAAGCACTCAGCCGAGAGGGATGGTGGGGGGACGGGAGTGCTGTGCCCACAGTAAAGCTGGAAGAAAGGGGCCTACGATGAAAGGCCCTCTCCAATACCAAGGCAACCGCATCTCGTAATACGGCGGGTGTGCATAAAACTGAATGGGGTGCCAGGCCAGGAACTCTAGGGGAAGTCAGCGAAACACATCTTGTGCATTTTCTGTTGATGTAAAGTTTTCTCAAAATAAAGAGTTTAGTTTCAAAAGATGACAAAACCCCCCACGACAAATGCCACTGTCCCTACTTCAGGCAAGATGGCGGACTAGGCAGACGCACTACACAGACCCTCGGCAACAAACACGAGAGCCAAGAGAAAATAACCACAGATGAAAATTCTGGCACCCTGAGCTTCAGAAGAAAGGTTAGAGAGGAGGATGGAGGGCTTGCTGGGAGGAGAGGCTGAGCAGGGACGGGGAGAGAGGGAGACTGACAGGTGAACAGCTGGCCAGATGTGGCTCTACAATCCCATGAGCCGCTTTGGCAGTGGAAGGAGGCCTGGCAGAGCAGATTCACACGGGCGACGGAAAAGGTGCAATTTCTTCTTTTTCCCCATGCTCCCCTGGTGACCAGAAGTATGGTCAGCTCCCACCCTCATCCACCTGGATGTTTGGAGCCTTGATATTGGGAACACGCCAGCACGAGGTGGGGGCTGGCTGGGCTGCTCTGATTCTTGGCATCAGGTGGGCTCAGCTCCAGACCTAAAAAGCCCAAAGAGCCCCCCAGACCAGCATTTAACCAGTCACCCTGCCCCCAGCTCTCCTGTGGTCCTAACAGGCACTGAAACCAGCGACTCTGAGCTGAAAGGAAAGACAGACGGACAACTTCACAGTCAGAGGACATCTTGGTGCAGGCCTTCTGTGAGCTGGAATCAAACTCACCGGGTGCATTTTGAGTGCAGGGAGGGACATTCACCACACCCCGTTTGAGACACCACCTCTGGGAACAAATCTTGACCCCTGACATGACATAGGGTTGCAGTGATGGGGGAGGATTCTGGGCTGCCTCCCCCTTGTCCCTCCATGATGCCTGACCGCATGGCCACTTGGTATGCTTCCTCACTGTTGCTGGGTCTTTTTAGTCTGTCTTCCTGGCTTTGGTAGTCCCTCTTCACTGTGGTTCACCATCATCATCATCATCAGCAGCAGCAGCAGCAGCAGCAGCAGGCCTACACCGACAACAGTGGTCGCTTTTGCAGGGAGGCAGACGCTGGAAGGAACAGGACCCAGGGGCCGACGCCAGGGCCTGTGCCACGGCTGCCCTGACTCCTGGTTAGCTGTTCTCAGACAGAAGGAGCGGGTGGGCCAGGTGCCCCGGCAGCTCCCCCTAATTCCTCCTCCCTGTGGTAACCCTCTGACATGCAGTGATGGCTCTTGGCAAACCCTGGGGAGCCTGTGGATCTGGCAGGATGCTCTGCGGTTACTTCCTGAACACACTGACTTCAGAAAATGATTCTGGAGACTGGGTTCCACTGCCATGTCAGAGTGAGGTGGCTGGGGGTTGTGTTCTGGCTCCTTCTTGCTGAGGACAGTACCGCAGACACGGCATCTTGCAGGGGCCTGAAGAAAACACTTGGGGAGGTTTCCCGGGCAGTGTCCCACTCAGTTCTTCCTGCCACACCAGCCTGGATCATCCTGTCCCCCACTCCAGACTGTCACAGAGAGAAGCCTGGCTGGCTTTGGGTCCCTGCGTTGCTGGGAAATGAGGGGACAGCGGAAACTTTCTTCTGGTCACATGCACACATGCGCCTCCACGAGCTGCTCATCAGGGCCTGGTTTGAGGCCTCCTCCTGGGTCCTCTCGTAGCACCCCAGAGCCAGTGTCTCCTCTCCTGTGCAGGGCCCCGCTGCCCTGCTGCTGCTAACAGTCATGTGCTCCTCCTGCTGCTGGCTTCCTCTAACCCGGTGTCCAGTGTCCACTGCTCTCTCTCATTAAGTCTCACACCTCCCTCCTCTTCTCTACATGACTGGCCAGCACATGTTGGCAAATGTCTTTCTTTCAGATCTGTCACCTCCTCCCTTTCCTTACCCAGGAAAGGACCTTCATAATGTTATGGCTAACGTTTCAAAAAATAGGAATTCTAAGATACTTCTTTGTATTCACAGGGAACCGCAGAGGCAGTCATTCAAACAGAACAAGGGGAGACTGAGCAGTTCAAAATCAGGAAGCTGTGTATCCTGGATACTTTCATCATACTTATCCAATCTGGATGCTGAGCAAAATCTGAGAAGCTGTACTATATGAAGAAGAATGCAGCATCAGGATTGGAGGAAGATTGACTAACAACCTGTGATATGCAGATGACACCACCTGGCTTGTCAAAAGGGAAAACAACCTTAAGTACTTACTGATGAAGGTCAAAGGGCACACACAGCCTTCCATACAAATTAGACCCAAACATGAAAAACTGAAAATCCTCACAACTAGACTGACAAACTCATGTAAAACTGAAGTTGTGAAGGAATTCATTCTACCGGGATTGACAATTATTGCCCATGGAAGCAAGAGTCAAGAACCAGGTAATATATTACATTTGACAAATCTCTGTACAAAGTGCTAAAAAGCGCACTAACGTGCACCCGGACCCAAGCTACAGTCTGTTCGAGCAACTCCCAGCATAATATGAAAGCTGGGCCACCACCAAGGCTGACAGAAGTGCTCCTGAAGGCAGCACATGTGTGAAACTGTCCCCCGCTCAAGGACGACATGCAAGTTCCTGAAGCATCCCACATACATGTGTGCGTGGTTTTTAAAAGGCAGATAGAAGAACTGATCTATTTGAACAGAGGTGTTTATAAAGACTATTGTACCTACCATGAACCGCAGGAAGAAAAAACAAAAATCCACCTAAGAGAAATGCAAGCAGAGCATTCATTCCCTGTAAGCGAGGATGGTGAGGCTCTCTTACTCTGGGGAATTGCTGGGAAAGGACATCATGGTTGGCCAAGTGGACAGTCAATGAGAACCCAGACAATCCCTCATGAGGCGGATGGACACAACAGCCGCAACAATGGACTCACCCAGCCCAGCAATGACCGTGGGGAGGATGCAGGACCAGGCATGCGTTCCTCTGTTCTACAAGCAGCTGACTCAGAGCTGACGCCAGGGCTCCCGACCACAACAGACCTCAGTGCTTGTCACTAACACCGTCTCACTGAGTGCTCAGCCGGCCTCCAGCTTTCTACATCTCTCCACTGTGCCGAGACTACAAGGCCAGTGTCCTCACAGCTAGGCCTCCCTGACTGGGCCGGGCTAACCTGGCAGCTCCACATGCAGCCGGGGGCTCCTGTGTGCTGCTGGACCACCTTGCGTTCCTCCCACTCTCTCTCCGCTGTCCATACTCTTGGCCCCGCTCTGGGGGCACAGGTGCCAGATTTGTGTGTGTCTCTGTGGTACACCTGGTGTGTCTCCTGCCTGTTCCAGGCTGTGACCGATGGGTCTCTGCATATATGTGTGGGAGGAGGGGGCTGCAACAGTTCCTCTGATGCAAAGGGAATTATGCTCCATGTTATCCAATTCTTCCAGATCTAAAGTCTCGGGGGAGGGCAGGCTCCCTGTTACCCAATTCTCCTTCCAGATCTAAAGTCTCGGGGGAGGGAAGGCTCCATGTTACCCAATTCTCCTTCCAGATCTATGGTCCCAGGTGGAGTTCCATGTTACCCAATTCTCCTTCCAGATCTAAAGTCTCAGGGGAGAGAAGGCTCCATGTTACCCAATTCTCCTTCTAGATCTACGGTCCCAGGCAGACTCCATGTAACCCAATTCTCCTTCCAGATCTAAAGTCTCGGGGGAGGGCAGGCTTCATGTTACCCAATTCTCCTTCCAGATCTAAAGTCTCGGGGGAGGGCAGGCTCTATGTTACCCAATTCTCCTTCTAGATCTACGGTCCCAGGCAGACTCCATGTTACCCAATTCTCCTTCCAGATCTAAAGTCCCGGGGGATGGACTGGGGGGGTTATGGGTGTCGGGATTTGTACCCGCTGCATGCTGACCCACACGGGATGGGTTCTTTGTGAAATACACACATTCTCCCCCTGATTATAAATGCAGGCTACTGCCCAGAAAAGAAAAATAGGAAAACAGAAATGAATATTACAATCAGTTATAATCTTTTGATCAGTTTCTAGTGGCATTTTGGTGTTTTCACACACTGCACTATTGCCAACTGCATTTCTAGAGGGGCGGGGGGGGGGGGCAG